TATAACAACATGCCATGGTCAAGTTCCACTGCAGTCTCCACTCATGCATTAAACAGTAAATATCCCACACTAATGCATGGACTCATAAACCAGCACCACCACATCACTCGCACTTATAATCACCAAACTCTTGCTAAAAGTCACATCTACAAAACCTGATCCAGCTTTAAAGGTTACACTATAATTAGCTTACTGAGGCATAATTCGTATCTGCTGGGAATAATTTACACTCAGCAGCCAGAGGTGTGTGATAAAAAATTGATTTTGTATGTCACGGCTGTTTACGAGGCTATGTGAAGGATATGAGGACATGTTATTTTAATACTGTGACTAAATGCAGTCTAGACTGAAACATTCAGTTCTGTATTGACACGATGCAGCTTACAACACAGGCAGAAAAATCAGCAGAATGTGATTAAAGGCAGGATGAATTGATTCTTCTGGAAATAAGTCTATTCTTATAGGAAATAAATGTTGGTATTACCAGGGCAGCTAATATCTAAAGGCCATTTTTGAATATGAATTCTGATTGCTTTGCTTACATTCTGTCGCTAGCTCCTCCTAGCTTCTTAAAAGTTTACTGAAATCTAGCATTGGTATATTTTACTTTTTTTTCTATTTTAAGGTTTCTTCTTTTTGTGTTTTGTAAATATTTCTGACAATATTTATGTGACATGTTATGCTAATATGTAGCATTTAGGTTAGACAATTGTGCATACCTACACATGCCAACTTTTAACCTTCCTGTTTTGAGAATTTTAAATAACATAATGTGTTTTTGTTAGTTATGTATTTGGCTTTTTTTCCTTTTAGTATCTCCTTTTTTAAAAACTTTATTGTTGTCTTGTGCGTGCGCTATAGAAATCACTGTCAATATTTTTCTCTCAGGTTTTATAAAAACTGTAGAATTCACAAGGCGTTGAAACCTACCATCATGTAAATTTCAGACACTTTTTCATATTTCATACTTAATATTTCAAACTTTTCTCATTTCCCGAGCACATCACACAGGCTTCCTTCACTCATACAAATTACTAATTTAATTTTCCCTTCCTGCTGTTTTTTCTTTATCAGTGGTCCACACAGTAAGATTTGACACAGTTTTTATATCTTTCCTGACGCAACACTCCCCACTGGTGGAATCAAACCCAGATTTAAACTACTACATCCATGACCCAACCAACTACTTACATTCTTATTAGGCAGAAATTAATACAGCAATATTTTCTAAAATAATCTGAAAAAGTTTACTTTGAAAAATATTTTACAAAATCTGTAAGAAGAAAAAAAATGTCTTATGGAAACTAGTCTACAGCCTACAGTCACATTCTACAGTAAATATTCTCTTTATCAGCAACCATGTTGCTCAGGTTGCTTTGTTAACTCCCACACTGAAGTGCACTTCTCCTCTACAGCTGACAACTGCTGTGACATTGCACTAATTAGACATACCTATGTAGTGGTGCTCATTTTGGTTAAGCACTGAGAAAAATAATGGCTAGACATTCTGTCTGGCCAGTGAGAAGTGACTCTTTTTACTTACTTATTTTTTCAAGAGGCTCAAATATAATTAAAATAAAAAAATAGGAATAATTTAATGATCAGTTTCATATTTTCTCTCTTCTAAGATACTGCTTCTCATCTGTGAACTCCACCATCTTCTTCTCGCTAATGTTCCAAGTGACAGAAGTTGTTAAATTGTTTGAGAGCTTGATTGGGTTTCCTTAATGAAGAAGCAAACAGCCTAATGACTTGGAGCACTTGGAAAAAAAAGCCAATCTTACCTTGGTGATTGTGAAACATAAACGTATTAACCTGCTGTGACACTTGAGTATAGCAGAGTTCTGGGTTTAATCCACGAAAGGTTTCGTGTATATCATGCTATTCTATGTCGGTTAGACGTTCAAACAAACACCAAAAAAACAACATCCTGTCCTCTAATAACCTTTTGGTGTTTTCATCGTGGGGACCAAGTGAGTCCCTGTCTCCCATCATCTTCCTTTGACCCCATTCATTCTCATTGCCACTCTGTGTCAGTGTAATCACCCTCACCCCTCCTCTCTCTCCCCCTTCTGTTGCCTCCACTCACAATCAGGCAGAGAAGAAGGGCTTTTGTTACAGTCTGAAAGCCCCTTTCATTTGTGTGTGTGTGTGTTCTGATGGGAAACCTTCCTTCTCCCTAAACATCAAGGCTTTCAGGTAAAAGAGTAGAGTTTCCAAACCAATGTTCCTTCCTGGACAAAACAAAGAGTCCAAACCTTCGAGTCAATGGTGGGAATTTATTTTTCCCGCCAAAGTCTTTAAATAAACGATTAGGATGTGAAAACCACATTATCAATCATCATCCTGGATGAGGATTTTGGGGGATTTTATTCCATATTTGCCTGCGTGCACACTTAATTTCTGTTTTAGTTTCACCATCATGTACAGTCTTCAGCAGGGCTCCACACCTCACTGCAGTTTTAGTTTCAGTATGTCTTATATTATGTCTTATAATCAGACCTGCTGGAGACGTCGCAACAGACTGTTCAGGTTTGTTAGAATAGAGCCGGAAACAGTGTCTGTTCAAGAAATCTCTGTTCATGAGAGAGATGATTATCTTTTTAGTCGTCATCCAGTAAACTAAAAAAGGATTTGTATTCGCTGTCGGTGAGAACACACATGAGAAATACTCTTATTAAATAAGAAATACTCTAATCTAGATTAGATTAGATTAGATTAGATTAGTTTGAACTTTGTTGATCCTACACTGGTGAAATAGTTGAAATTAAAGATGCTTACATTTTAATTAATTAAATAATAATAATAATTTCTCATCGACTTGTCCATTATTCCCTTCAGCCAGACTCAACTTACCAAACACCTTCAGGAGAAACACCATCAGTGTTCGACAGTGTTCGAGTCTGTAGGTTCAGTAACCACTGTGTACTTAGACTTAGCCTTTCTGCAGTTCAACGCTGCGCAACCCCCAATACGGGATGTTTGTTTGTTAAAGTAACATCAACGTACATGTGAAACTAAGCCTGCTCCCATGATAAACACTGCTATTATGTGTGGATGTGGAGGAAAAAGAACGTCCCCCGCCCGTCAGACGCGCTCTGTACGAGCTAAAATTGCAGGTGTAAACAAACACAACAACAAAGCAAACGCGCACGCACACACTGACACACTCACCGAGATTCTTTTATCGCTGTTTGTTTAGAATCTTCTCCAGCTTGTTGTCTCGTAGCCCTGCCACTCATCCTTCCAACGTCACCATGTCAGACTGTCATCTCTGTCAGCGACGACCGAGAAGAATTCACATCTGTGTAAGAACATAATCTGCCATAGAAACAGATGAAAAAGTAATCAGTGATATTGACCTTGGGGTAAGAATAGAAATAAAAAATATCTTAATTAGTCCAGCAGTGGGTTACGTCAGCAAAGACAATGAAGGAAAAGAAAAGTCCAATACAATAGTGTAGTTGCATTGTATGAAAATACAAGAAGAAAACGAGGGATGTCAATCAGAGCGTAAACACATTTCTATTTAATTCTGTGTGAAACCAAAACTTTTTTGATAAACTCTGAGGGTAATACTGAAGAGATGTAGGATGGATTTGACTTTTGTTCTGGCAGTTTTGGCTCTGAAGTTTGATGCAGCTGCAGCTTTCTGAGGTTGCAGGTTTGATCCCTGACTCCTCTTATCTGTGTGCCAAAGTTTCTATGGGCAAGACACGGAATCTCAAGCAGCTGACAGTGTATGAATAATGTATGACAGATGAGCCGCAGCATATTTATGGTATAGGAATAAAGGAATGACACCAGTGGTGTTTACAGACACTGAAGTGTTTTTAAGGATGAGAAAAATTTTGTTTTTCAGACATTTACTGTTTTTTTTTTTGTTCATATCCTAACAGAGCTGTTAATTGGCAATAGCCTTTCACCAGCTTGATTAGAATGCACTTTAAAAGGCTTTATTGTAATTTTTAATATGTTGTTTCATTTTGTGTTCTTTTCATTTTTCTGCTCCTTTACTGTTAATCTGGAAACCACAGGACAATTCAGTGCAGGGTTTGACTGTATTAAAGCTCACAGATCAACCCGTCTGTTTGTTCCTCTGCGGGTGAATTAAACTCACAAAGAAATATATGAATAGCATCAAACTCCATTCAGGCACGAGAGAGCGTGTTTTTTTTTTCATACAGTAATCGTCCCTTTGATAAACAACCCGGCGAGGAAAGGTTTAAGGTGTGCACACGGCGATTAGTCTGTTTTGACTGACAGAACAGACGCAGAGACAGCCTGTTGATGGGCGAATGCAAACACGGGCTGAAAGAGTCCATTCACAACGGGGCCGATCCCGCACACAAACAAACACATGCAAATGCAGACGCACAGATACAGTAGGTATTGTGTCTCATGAGCGCCTCCTCAGTCGTCCTCTGTTCTGTACTATACCTGCAGAATAAGAAATGCAGTCTCCCACTGAGACTGCACCGAGACGGTGTGCATACACTCTTACTGTCATAAGTACACATGTGCAGCCACTGACACACAAAAGCACACACACACCCTGCTTAGACTGTCAGCAAACAAAAGAAAAGATAACAGCTCCCGCCTCCGAGCGTCTTTGTTTCACAAACAGACTTCCAGCTAGATCAGATGTCACTGACAGAGAGGTGCTCGTGCTGTGAATGTAGTTTCCAGCATGTGGCCTTTATGTCTGCCGGGGGACCACTCCGCTGTCATTGTAAAATATGCCGAAACGTGGCGATGGAGACAAAACAGGTTCTTCATTAAAGCGGTGAAAAGTGATGCATAAAGTGGTGCTGTAGATAAAGATAGTTCACTCGGCTTTCAGCGGGGGCTCACGCTGTGAGGAGGGAGTGGGACATAAAGTGCTGAGAAATGTGGTAGAACAGATAAATTACGCTGCTTTCAGCGGGATGTTCTCTGCGTGAGGAGAGGAGTCTGTCACTGACATTGTAATGTGTTATCTCCACTTAGTGAGGAGATAGGCGATGAAGATAACTGATGTATTATCTGTGTGACGGCAGCAGCATGAAAAATAGAAAGGCCACTGTCAACAGAATGAAACGATAGGAAACCAGAAAACATACCACCCCACCGTGTTGCTCTAGGAAACCAGAAAACATACCACCCCACAGTGTTGAGATGCCTCTGATTGGACTGTGTAGAGTACAGAAAAGCATTGGTTACAAATAGGAGGAATCCTTTAATGTCAATGAAGACTGGATTTATTAAAGGACATTCGTTTAATCCAAAAGGAGTGTTTTTATGCTTCTCCTTTCGACCAGTATGGCTCCACTGAAATTTCTGTGACAAGTAATTATCCCAGCCTTCATGAAAGCTGTAGGAACGTGTTAGGAACGCCACATCATCTCCAACATTAGAGTGAAAAAAGCTTTGATGGTTCTTCATTAACAAGAACATAAATAAGAGATTCAAATATGCAAGACTTGCTAGGTTTTGGCTAGGTTCTGATTCTCTATCGCCACAGAAAAGGTCAGCGTTTAGTTCTTAGAAAACCTGAGAACTTCAGGGCAGAATTCATAGAAAAATCACGGCAGAGTTCAGTCGCCGCTAAAAAGTTTAGGTGAAGTCTCTGCAAAATACTGTAGCTGCGGTTAGGATTCACAAACTCTCCAGGGTCTCCAGAGAAAGTCAGGTTGAGAACCCCAGACTTTAGGTCACGGTCTTAGTCATAAGAAGGCGTTTAAGTCAAGTTTCCAGGGAGTCAAAGAAAAGTTTGAGTCTCAGTGATTTACCAGTCAGAGCCACGGGCAAAAAAGAAATGGCATGAAATTTGAGTCAACTCCAGGAGTTACTGACCAAAGTTTGAGTCCTTCACAAATGAAGTAACTGGGTTCTCAAGTTTTTGAGCCTAGAAAGAAGTTTGAGTCTGGTAAAACTATAAAATGTATGTCGTGAAACTTTTTCTTTAATCAGACTTGATGTCACAAACGTAGAAGCTACTGTATAGTCAGGACTTGGGTGAACTGTTAGTTTTCACCTCTGAGTTAAAAAGTAGTTAACTATACACTGTATGACCTTTACTCAGTATTACTGAGGTTTTACGTCTTATATGTCTTACAAGTTATGTAAAACATAAAAACATGTTGGATCAGCCCTACTGGTTACAGAGCAGAATCCAAACAGGGACGGGGACTACGAGCTTTAATTCAAAGCAGAGCGACGCATCACAGACGTTGGAAAGAAGCGGCATCAACGTCTTTCATATTCATAGAAAGCGAAATAATTTTCTACAAGGATCCGACTCACTTACGTAACACATTCATCACTCTGACTAGACCTGTCTGCGCTGAATCCATTAGTCCGCGGGAAAATGTGCAACACTGTTCCTTTGAAAGGTACAGCAGGTACTAATTAGTGACATGGTGGAACTGGGAAGTCGGACCAACGGAGGACTTCTCCACTCACCCCTCTGTTTATAGATGACATCAGGAAATAACTGGTTTTTGCTTCAGGATGTAAACACAGTCACTACTCCCTTCTCTCCTTCTCTCTCTCTATGCCTGTTCTCCATCCTTTTCTTGGTCTGCACATCACATGGATGTCTTTGTGTTTTCATCCTCAGCTTTGCTTTAAAAGCAACATGTCTGTTTTTTTAAAGCATGTTGTAGAGAAACCTTTGTACAGGACGGGAAGAGACAGTGAGCTCCTTCTAGAGAGCAGTGACTTCTCAACACTGGTGCTGCAGTCAGGGATCTACAACAACCAAAGACTACCTCATTCCCATGGCTCATGTTATTATTAGTCATATTTATTATTATATTCATTTTTTTATATTATTTTCTTTGTTCAATATATTTGTGTTTATGTGTGTATTTAGGTTTATTTTACTGAGATGTTATACATTCTTCATTTATTATTATATTATTATAACATATTAATTATTTATTATTAAAATGTATTCATTTCTGTGAGGCTGAAGGGAAGTTTTAATCTAATTTCATATATATTGAATTATGTAAAAACACTTGGACCTGACTATATTATTTATATTTATATTTATTACTTTGTGTCAGATTTATGACGGATTTGAACAAGATTTTAAAACTGTGTTGTTGAATTAATCCTAACTTCTTTTATTCTTAGCTTGTCGGTACCAGGGCCAGGAGTGTCGGCTGGTGATTCACTATGAGCAGGGATTTTCTGTGTTGACCGACCCCAGTCTGGCCGACAGAGAAAATGAAGAGGAGAGAATAACTCACATTCCTGTGAGGCAGAAGATTCTGCTCTGTTACCCCTATGAAAAACTAAAGATGTCGTCAGACGACGGAGTTCGTATGCTGCACCTGGACTTCGGAGGAAGGGAGGGAGAGATTGTAAGTGTTTAACATTCCTATTTTTTTTAGCCTGGTATTTTGTGGATTTAAATCAGTGAAGACAGAAAAGGGAAAACAAACATTTTCATTTACTTTTGCCAATGATGCTAAATACTATTTTAACTAAATTGAAAAGTTGTCTGTGACCTTTTCAGATGTTTATATTAAACTGAGCTCTTAAACAACACACAAATTCTGCATACTTGACTTTGGCCGTGTTGTCACTAATCTTAGAGGCTCGGAGTATTCTCCTGGGAAATAAGGTTACACTCAACCAGAAGATGGTATAAATATATAAATATATATGGAAGACAGACTGTGGGAGAAAGTAAATTACAGCACTTCATCACAAAATACCTCTTGTAATAAACTTCCTTCCCACAAACACTGATCCGCTGAGGTGAGAGTGTTTTTGTTAGTGGAGTTTTCTCTAAAAATAACCTGTCACTTCCTGTGAGACTTTTAATCTTTTAAAACCTCTTTGGGGACTTTGGGGAGTTTCAAACAGCAGCTCTTTTAGAAATCAGGATCAATAAAAATAAAGCGCAAACATTCCCACCAGCCAATATGGTCATTATTTTCTTTGAGATTCACTTTTTAGCCCCTTTGCATCATATTTGACAGTCACTTGAATATTAATGCGGGTGACAGGAAAATGAACTCAGCGTCTCCTTCCCCTGGCGCCAAAACAAAAACTGATTTTTCCCAGAAAAACAACACAGCCGTTGCATCATTCACCTAAAAAAATAATAATAAAAAAACCACAGTGATTTAATGTTTGATGGAACGTTAATGAAAAATCAATATTATTCTCTGTGAAGTGTTAATCTGTCTGACAGTCCACATCCGACTGGAAGACTCCCTGAGACTGGTCAAATCATGTCTGACTGCTCAGTTACTGCTGAAGGCTAACTGCAGCTTTGATGTGAAGCCTTGATAATGTTTGGATCTGGAGAGTTTGGGAATGTCAGTACAGACACACACAAATACAGTTTAGGAAAATTACCAATACATGTGTAGGCGGGACTGACATTTGTTAGCCTAGCATTCCAGTGCACCATTCACCTAACTCTATATTGTTAGTTAGTCCATGTTTGTTTGTCCATTAGTCTTTAGTCCATATGTAGGAAAAGATGCAATTGAGGCAAAAGCAGGACGCGTCTCACAAAACACAGTGTTTGTGGCTGAGATCTGGCCCACATCAGGCGTACATTATGTACCACTTTATTTGGTCCACTTACAGCATTGAATGGTGACACCTTGGGTGCCCGGGCTACTACCCAGCCGCAGTTTTGACAATAATCAGGTGAAATCAGTTTAAAGATCAAATATCTCGTCCAAGTTGGAGCCATTTAAGAAACGGCAGAAATTTGTTCCAACGTATTCAGTCTGTGACAGATGCCATCTGAAAAAATGTTGGTACATTTTCCCAATAACAGTGAGATGTAAAGAGGATGTGATTAAAAATAAATGATGAATAACTGTAAGTCGATGTGTTCCGTGGCCAAAGTCCATCTTTTAGATTTTTGTAGAAAACGTTTGATCTTTTAAACAGCTGAAGTCCTTATAAAAAAAGTAAACTGCGTCACATCTATAGAACACAGAGCTAAGAAAAAAATGTTGCTATTCTTACACAGTAAAAAAAATACTGTGTTTTAGACAAATTGTCAGTATTTTCTGGTATTAATCATAATTTAAAATGTTGGTGTCGGACTGAGACAGAGCTGTTTCTTTTGTTTTTATTGCTGCTGAAGTGTCCTATACTGTACTGTACCTACAGTCAAGTGAATTTAGCCTTATATCCCAAAATTATAAATGAAAAATTTAAACTGCAGTTAATAAAACGTCAGGGGAAAAGAATTTATTAGGTGTCAAATACATCTGTAAAAAAAACAACACAGACAATCAATACTGGTGATTAAGTTCAGGTCAAAGTGTTGGACTTTTTCAGTGATTAAAGCCGTCTTTACTGGAGCCAAATGCCATCATTAAAAAACCTCATCTATCTGATCTCCTCAAACTCCTGTTTTTCCCTGAAGTTGTGATTCAGTGCCGTCGTATAAATCTGATCGTCAGTCAGCCCGCCAGGTTTTCTAGTGATGAAGTAACCAATGAAACGCCCTCGTCTGCTGTATGATCAGACGGGCTAAACAGTGGCTTACATCAAATTTATCAGCTACATTCTCCTCGGTCTTAAGAGCAGGATATGAGTCACACAAGTGGCAAGAACTCCCACTGTTGCTTAATCCACGAACACAGCATTTGTTCATTGTGTCTTTGCTTTTGAGCCTTTTAAGCCACAGTCTAATCCTCCCTCAGACAATGTTGACAGAAGATTTGGCTTTTAATATTTACACACTTGTGCATAAGTCTTGAGCCACCTTTGTCTTTTTTGTTTAATTTTTTTCCCCCAAAATCCCAAATCATTTTGTAATTTTCAAATGCAATTTTCAAGAATAGTTTGTTATTTTGTTTCAGTCCAGGCCCAATCTTCTTTTCCCCTGAAATCTATAAATACTGAAATAGCACAAGATTACGGTTATTAACAACATCTAAAACTACTGAAATAGCACAAGATTACGGTTATAAACAACATCTAAAAAAAAACAAAGAGGTTTCCACAAGGCAACAGTTTGATCGCCGCAGGGTTTTAATGACGTTTTCTGAACCTGAATTTAAGCCGTTTAACCTTGGAAAGAAGTAAGATAGAAACTCAAGACAATTAACGACTCAATAATAGAACCTGTAGAGTCAGAATCTTAAATTGACTCTCACGGGAAAAAGACAATTTACCAAGCTTCTGATTATGACACTAAGTTTATTCAATTCAATATCTCTGACCATTTATTTTAGACTATTTATAAAAAATGGCACAAATGGAAAACTTGCAGCCAACAGCACCTCCCTATGGAGTGGCAGCTCAGAGAGAGGCTAAACCAGAGGCTAAAGGCTAAATATGCTGCTTTACCCCAATAATGGTCTAGAATTTAAAGGTCATATTTCGTAGGAATATCAATTAAAATCGTCCTTGAAAATAAGTGGCTCTGTGAGGGTTTAGGGCTGCATTTCAACTGTTGAAACACCATATAACAAACCATGCCATTGACTCTCAATCACTCCGTGTTTATGATATTGTTTATGAAAGTGTGTTTTGTCATACTGTGTCTTTATATAAGATTTTAATTCCTTTTTTTCTTCTTTACTTCATGCAGCAACTAGACCTCCACTCATGTCCAAAGCCCATCGTCTTTATCCTCCCCTCTTTCCTGTCAGCCAAGATCGCCCGCCTGGGTCTGGTGGCCTGAAAGCCTCTCTAAAGGGAAATTTCAACACCTTTCAAAACCGAAATCTACCTTGTTGCTCCACATGTTTGCACCCCACGTGCACCACAACAACTCCATCAGCAGTTGAGCCGAGCCGAGTGAATGTAACTTCAGTCTGAAGATCATCTTGGGACTTGGACTTTAGATTAAAGACTGGCAATCGCTGATCGATTTAATTTGGAGTGAGATGGACAGTTTCTTTCTTTCTTTCTTGGGAATTTCTCATTTCAGGTCCTGCCAAGACTTAAGTGTTGACTGAAGGGGCAGATTAGAAAGTAAGTGATGCAGAGGGATACACAAATACAGCAAACCGGGCTCTGGTGTCACACACAGGCTGTAGAGGAAGGTTTAAACATGCGCAGCAGGGTCTGAGGTGGGTTTGATGAAATGACAAACACACTCAAGACAACGGTCAAATAATTCATACATCTTTAGCTTTGGGAATTTCATCAATCAGAATTTTTCTTTTACAAAAAATTGGCCACACAAATGAGAAAAAACATCCTAAATCCTAACACCCCCCCCCCCCCCCCCCCCCCCCCCCCAACAATGCCGTGCCTGTTTCCATCACTGACTTGTGAGTAGGGTCGATCACAACATGACGGTTCATTAAGATTAATGTTATTTCTTTGAATAGATTAGATTCAGGAACAATCAGTGACACAGCAGTGTTTGTCTGATTCCACAGTAATGGAAACTCTAATGACTCAAACACTGATGCTGATCTCAGATCAGTGATTAGGTTTGATCTTTGCTCCAAAATGAATTCTTCTTCTTCACACATTTTTTTTACACTAGCTGCAGCAAATGGAGTGTAATTTTCAACATAAACCAAGGATTAGAAACCACCCTGGTCTATGGTGGTCTCATTGTCAAACAAACAACAACAACAGCTTAGCATCATGCCATAGAGTAGCTGCAGCACAGCTGTGTTCTAAAGCAGAAACAATACTACACTTATGTAGTTCTGCAAATGTAATACTACTCTGAAACAAAAACGCGGCGAGTTCACCAAAGAAATACAGACGAGTACATTGTCACAATGACCTCTTGTGTTGACACTTAAACATATCACTGTTCGTCAGTTACTGCAGAGGAACAAACAGCTGAGAATTCACATTTGTGGCTCTGATGTCTCTGCTGAACACACAGGACTGACTCAGCCACTCTGGAATGTGTGTTGTGTACTTTGATATTCAAGGTAGTTGCAGTATAAATATTGGATTAGGGATTAGGGATTAGCCAAACCTGTGACTGTCACTTAAAATCCAAAGAGGAAAAAAAAATGTTTAGGAGTTTAAATTCCAGCAGAGTTCGCTCCAAGTGAAGCTTAATTTTCAGTCCAATTAGGTGAGAAGTCAAACGAGCTGAACACCACTCTGAGGCAAACAATTGCGAGGTATTTCTCCTTTGTTTGGAATAATGAAGTAGCTCAGCAAGAATCAAATGGGCACGAAGTTTCTGTAAACAGTTTTATATAAGTTGTTTAAACCGGTTTTAATATAAACAGAACTGACTTCTGGTTCACATCTGAATTTGGAGGAGAGGTGTTTTGTGCGTCTATCAAGAATCACAAGACTGACAGACTGACCGCAGGCGTCACTGAGGCGTCGAGTGTCCAATCAAACTGAACAAGAAAACTATAACGTCACAAACTTAATATAATAAATATGATTAGTATTTTCAAAAAAATCCAGCTCTTCTTTTCTTTCTAATTTTTGTGTACCATTATCACCAAAGAAAAAGATGGCTATCATGAATAAAGACTGAGGATAGTGGGTTTTACTCTCACTTTCACTTTCAACAATGTGGACAGTTTTACAGATGCTGGTTTAGGGTATACTATATAAAAATGTATTCATATTGAAATATAAATATATTATTACATATTTTAGCTGTACATTTTACAACAAGGATCACTGTTTGATGCCAAATCCATTCGCTGCTAATTAGCATTAAGACCCTGCTATTGATTTGTTTTCCTTCCTAATCTCAGCAAGAGAGTGAATCTAATAAATCTTTATTTTATTTTGACAATTGATCTTGAAGACTGAAACTTAATCAAACGTTGTCACATTAGCTTTTATGATAATGGCCGTGTAGCCATTAAAGCAGTCTGGCAGCAGTCATTATTGTTTTGAATGTGACGCAGCAGAGCAGACCGTTACTGCTCTGTGTCTGTCTTTACTTGTGCCTTCAGATGACTGAGAAGAAAATTAACATTTTATTTTTAAATAAAATAATAATTATATCGAAAGTGTGCAGCAACGGTGTGACGTCTATGTCAGTTGTTTTGATTTGAACTACCTTGTTTTAGCCTGTCTTTATTTCATACATTGTAAATTTAACACACTGTAGAAGAAAACATCTATTTTGTTGATTCTCACTGAACTTACAGCAGGCATGGGCAAACTACGACCCGGGGGCCAGATGTGGCCTATTTGGCTTTTTAATCCGGCCCACCAAACTTGTCCATATTAAGTTATTAATTTCTATTTTTTATTTATATTTCTGCCTTTCCCCTGCATTGCCCGTATTTCCCCAATAGATGGCATAGAAATGGCTAAAAGCATTTTAGCATTTACTGACTGACTTTTTCATGTCATTTGTTCTAGTTCATACGAATTTTTCATCTATCTGCTCCTGACCCGGTCCCCCATCAAATTTTAGGACCCGTGGTGGTCCGCGAGTCAATATGTTTCCCCACGTCTGACTTACAGTAAAGGCATTGGAACACACTGAGAACTGAGCACTTATCTATGACCTCGAGTGGAGAGAAGCACTTTGATGTGAACTCTGATGCCCCGCGCGGTTACTGTTCTGTCATTCGGAATGATACAATGTAGTTTTAACTCAGATTGTGCACATAAATCCTGTATTTATCAGTGATCTGATCTGTCTCTTGTTTCCTGTCTTCTTGTGTTTAATTCTTTTTTTTTCAGTAGAAGTGTAGAAATGTTTTACTTTTCATTGATTTAAAAGATCTGTGACATTGTCACACTAATGCACAGTTGTTGAACACTTACTTCTAGCGAACACTTAATGGTGGTAATAGGAGTTATTTCTCTGATCTCAGGTCAGAACTGTGGTCACAGAACTGTTGCTTTGCTACTGTGTGTGTGCACCGATTTCCGGTTGAATCTGAAGAAGCTACGGCATTCTCTCCAAGCCCTGCAGCAACCACTTGGGGCAGCATTTTGCCCTTCCCTCTTATCACCTGTTTTTTTCCTCAATATAGTGGTAAAAATAGGGTGACAGTAACTTGTCATCTGCATAGTTTTGATGGAAAACAACTGATGAAAACAGAAGTATGACTCCCTGCATTAGGACTGGAGTTCTATATTAGGGGCAAAATTCAAAGTGCTAAGGCTCTATCTTCTCAGTGAGGAGATTGAGCTCTATACATACTGCGGCCCTTTGACAAATATACTGTAGTTGTTGACTTCTCATACAGGACATCACCAGGTAGATGGCAAACACTGTGGGGTTTTTTTTAAATTAGAACATTAGGCTTTAGAGAAGTCTGTGACCAAGAGATTTAAGGATCAGGTTTGTAATCGAAGGATTACTGATTTGAATCCTGGCCCACCTCTCTGTTTACACTGCCATTAGCATGTAAGCATGTAGCCCACTGCTCCTGTGTCCTCAGTAGTACTTTAGCTTTAACTGTAAGGTTAAAAAATATGCTAAACGGAATTTTATATATATTCTTCAAATCCTGCTTTAAAAGCATATCTATATATACAGTATATATATATAAATATATATATATATATATTTATATATATACCTCTGCAGTGTTACAAACAGATAATCTGCACAGCTGGGATTACAGGATGTGTACTACGTATTTATTGTGTATTAGTGTCAGCGCAGATTGATTTGGAAGAGTTTTATTGACCGTGCCAAAAACTGCATTAATTTGTACTCTGGAGGGTAATTGAGTTGTAGTTCTCTACACACTCATAACTCTCTGACATTGTTCTCTGGCGCTCCTGGGTAGTGAGCTGCCATCTGTACCTACACAAACACGGAACGAGGGGAAGCAGGGGGCTGTGTTTGTGCGGCTACAGAGTGCAGACATCCTATGACTCTTTACAGGCTTCATTAGGTGTCATTGTTTAGCCACAATATTTTTTTTTCTTTTTTACATTTTATTTTCTATATCCTCAACTATATCCTCAAGCTGTTTCTAACACTGCTAGGGGGACAGGGACTGTCTGCCAATAGGAACAGTTGTACTGTATGAATAAGAAAAAGCAGTAGACACGCAGGTCAACTCTCCCACTGGGACCAGCAAAAAATAACTCCACAATCCTAAGAACTGAAAATAAACATATATTTGTTTTTGTGTTCGAAAGAACAGAAAGGGGAATGTAGAGAGTGAGATGGAAATAGAAACAAAAGGTAGAGCCACATTAAGTTCAAAAAGTTCTAACAATGACATATGTTGTATTATAATGAGTGTATAAAGCCCTAAGACGAGTCTTGAGTTTTATCCTCATGAAGTGTGCACAGTGTTGTCAACAGCTCAGAATAAACCATTTTTAAATCAGAGGAAAAATCAATTTTTAACCCAACTTAAACAGAAATCTTTTAAAAAATATACTAAAACTGACAGAACATTTGAAAAGAACTTAATTTCAGTCTTCAGAAAAGACGAAGAAGGTGGTTGTCTTCAGGTGTGAGAGACAACTCCCCCAAGTGTTTAAACGAGAATCCATTAAAAAAAACCTTGGAATTAATGGTGTCAATATTACCTCAGTAAAAATAAGAGTTTTAATCAGGGTGTCAAACTCCTGGCCCCAGGCCCACTTCCAGTCCAAGGATCCTCTACATCTGGTCCATGACAAGATGTTGGTAATAATTAAATATTGCTATTGGGGAAATTTTTACTTATTTCTTTTGAACTTTTGAACTGTTAAAATGATTTAATTGATCATTTAAGCATGAGAAAATATGTATTTATGCTAACTGTTTAACCTGTAGTATTAAATATCATATGGAAATTATATTAAAAAACAAACATTTTTCTAAAATAATTTTTTTTGTTTTAAAAAATTAAAATGTAATGTGGCCCTAATTTAATAATGGTGGCAGCAGTGGTCCTCAAATCATGACCCCTACTGCCTTATCATCATGACAACCAGGTCGCTTGATTCATTACACACATTTGGGCACATTTTGCTGAAGGGTTCACAGCCTCGGACCGTAGTTTTAGGTCAGTCATGACTGTGTATGGTGTAACATTATGATCCGATTTCGAGGGAAAATAGTCAATAAAGCAAGACTGCAGGAGGAGTGTGGTTCCCGTCAACTGTGTCAGTAAACGTTGCCTGGTGCAACATTACAATGCACCTACTGAACGGCTCGACTGTCAAATTTCATTGGCTCTCGGAGGAGGATCATAATTTACAAAAAAATAAAGTCTCTGTTTTATTGAAAAAGTCCTGAAACCTGCTTACGACGCCGTAAATTCCTCCATAACATGTTTACTGAGGTCATAAATCAAGTGAGAGAAAGCCTTTTTCCAGGGGTTTATGGAGGGGTGGCCTGCATGACTACGTCCATTTCTTATATAGAGTCAATGTAAATGTCAGGGACTTTAAAGGCTGGAAAAGTGCCAGATCAATTAGCCATAAACTGTGGCCAACACTGTGGGCACGTGTGTGTGTGAGTAAAGGCTCAGAGTGGAGTCCATTTGCACACAGTGGATATTTGTCTTAATGACAGCAGAACTTTACATTAAATATACGGTGACCTCTGTGCCCGCTTCTGGTTTAGCTATACTTGTGGGGACATTGTGGGAACATTTTAAAAGTCCCTACTGAGTGAGTGGTGTTTCAGAATTCAATGTATCGAGGTGGAATTAGGATTAGAATTCTGGTCAGATCAGAGGATTAGGAAGATTTAAGATGAGACATACACTCGTAACAGTCGAGGTTTGGCCGTTGTCAGTGATTGTGGAAGAAGCTGCCATTAAACGTACAAGAAGCTTCTGCACTTCCTGTTTTTAAATTCATTACCTGCTGTGGCCTTCAACACCGTATGAGTCAATGTGTTATTTCTAATACGCTTTGTTTAATATTTTACTGCTTTCATTCATTTTCACTTTCACTGCAGTTGTTTTATTGCTGTTTCTACTATTGTTTTCATGGCTTTTGTCATTACAGTATGTATATATAAATATATATAATCTTTATTATACGACACTATGGCGTTATCTATAAAAATGTGCTCTATGAATAAATTGGACCAGGATTTGGACAAGCAGCTAAGGAATGTATAATTTATATGAAACAAAACAAAAAATGTGTGTGTGTGTGTGTGTGTGTAAATGAGAGAAGGGGGGAGAGAGAGAGAGAGA